AGACGCTGTTCAAATCAGTTAGTAGAGGGAAATATTGTCGAAATACGCGCTTGCTATAGTTTTAGTCGTATTGAGACCTTAAAATCAGAAAACTTATTTACTTACCTGAACCTAAATGCTAGACGGGTCACTGCCGCTAACTAAATTCTGCACCACGGCAGAATCAAAGTTAAGTTTGCATAGATGGTTTTCATAGTGACGTCATCAAATTGTACAGTCAAAATAGCGAGGTTTTACGAATTCCTATTTACACTAGGTTGAAGATAGACAAAAAGTAAATCGTTGTACAAGTTTCCATTCCTGTAGCATGTTTCATTTCTAAAATACGGCAATTTGAACTTCAGAGTTTTCACAGTTCGTGACACCAAAATAGGAATGCTGTCTCGTTGAAAAAAGTCTCTCCTCTTGATTTTCAGCTGTATAACCATTTCAAGCATTAGAAGATATGTTTATGCGTTCGTATGCTAGTTCTCGAGTAAAAAGAAAGATCTTTTATAGAAAAAGTGAACTCCAGATGTTTTGTTGAGTTCCGGCGGCCATATTCACTGCACCAAAACGGTGCACCACTATGGCCCACTATGGCGTCTCCATACAAAGCTGTACAAAGGTGCGTGAAACGTTTCGGCAAACAACTCAGAAACTTTGGGCCACAAAGACCTGAGACTTAAACAAATTGTTTAAAAATTAGTCTTTTAAAACATTTCATTCTCTTGGCTTCTTCCACTGGACGGTTTCCAATTTATTTTTTTGTTTCCGGAAGTGCGTGACGCGTAACGCGCCGGGAAAACGTTCGCATAACATCTCGCACATATTCAAACTTGGTTAGTGGCGCCTGTGGCCCCAGAACAGTAATGCTGATTAATGTATTGCGATTAAAGAAAAGATGCCGTGAGTCACTTGGTATGCTCCTTTGTTAGTCACGTGACTAGGTATAATGATAAGCGGAAGGTTTTCTACATTTACGTTAGGTCTCTTAGTTTGATCCACAAAATTGGCGCATGAAAAAAAGAGTTTTTCCTCACCAGCGCTAAATGTTTGGTTCCGGGTGTCGGTGCAACAAATCACGTTGTACCATTCCAGAACAGCCTTCTGACTGCTTATGAAAGGGTCCATAAAGGCATACTGATTGATGACTCTGCAGGCCCGTAACCAGGGGGGTTGCACGGGGTGCATTCGCACCCCCCCACAGGCCCCAAAGGTCCGCATTTTGATACTCAATATCCAAGTTAAGGAGTGCAGTTGGTTAAACTGAAGTTTCAAACTTAACAGTGATATTTAAACAAAATCAAAGAATGGAAAAAGCAGTAGTGTGTTCACTGGGAAAATAAAACCAGCTGCACTCTAGTAGCCCGAGCCATTCAGAACATTTCAATGAGCGCACAGATGTCCGAGCGTATCTAAATGAAAGATGAAATTAACGTGCGCACACTTTTGCACAAGTCAAATACAGCAGCCAAAGCTCTTAAGGAGTGCGATGATGATCTTTTTCCAAAGAGGGTCTAGAAGAGGGATAGGCGTAAAACGGCTAAAATTGAGTCGATAGCCGTAAAAATTGAAAAACTTTAACCGTTAGCCGTAAATAGGGTAAAAAAGAGTTAACCGTAAAAGAAATTGTTTCGTAGATTTGTTAATTTTAAGGAAGGTGCTAAACTCGCTTATGGTTGCGTTTTTTATTTCCTGGCTACCTTTGACTCCGTACGCACGTTAGGCCAAGCGCCTTTTAGGTGTTGACCTAGACCTAGGCTCCATTTCCGCCGCTCTCTCAAAGAATCAAGTTTTTTCCATAGCAAAAATCTGGCTTCTTGTTGGGGATTAATATTTGTGATTTTCAGGAGGTCATGCCCTCGAAATACTAGTGAAACAACACGCAGAGGTGTCACTGTTTGTAAAACATGTTGCCGATAAACAACAATTCCCTGTTTTTCTCTGATGCTACGGTAGACATTGCCATGCCTAGTCCCTGTACGGCGTCTTCCCACGCAATCTCGGTCAAGGCATTTCGGTGGCGTATCTATCCCTGCAATGAGCTGTGAATGTGAAAGAGGTGCGAGTTCTTTAAGGCGGCTGCATACATGTAACAGGGCATGCATGGGCCAGGAAAGGCTGTTATCCCTCGCACTAATGCACATACATTAGGGAAAGTTCATTTAATATGACAAGGTGGGGGGGGGGGGG